GCAGCAACTGGCAAGTGACACTAAAGGAAAGTTACTAAGAGGTTTAGACATTCAAAAAAAGCCGTAGTTTCCTAGAAACGCAAGAGGTGGGAGAAACGTTCCTCACCCTCCCAGCTAACTTTCCACGGTGATAATGCACTGTTGGTTTCTTCTTTATTGTGTCATTCGAGGTCTGTAAATGTTAATGGGCCCGATTTATAGCTTTAGCAGCAAGAGGCCACGAGGGCTTGCTGTGACGGCTCTGACAGCTGGAAACTGCCCTGTGCCCTGGCAATTGTGTCAGCAATCAGGGATGCTAAATATAATATGCCAGCATCATTTCCATGACGCTGACAATGGCACCCTGCTCTCTTGAACATCTCCCTGATGGCATCTCTTGGGCAACCTTATGCTTCAAGTCAGGATGAGCAGATGGAGACAGTGGGAATCCTTAGAAACACACGACAGCCTTATCTGCTTGTTTGCACAGGGTCAAAAAACACACCCTCTCAAGAGGAAAAGGACCACTGTGGACTCCAGGCAGAACCATGGCAAAATTTATGTGCGGATTTTAGGGTGGCTATTTTTTTTTACTCTTTGATGTTATCTCTCAAAAGAGTCCTCCTTTAAAGTCTGAAGTTCTTGTTTTATATCTCCCAAGGAGAACGGTGGGGTAAAAATACTTTTAACAAAAACAACATGAGAAAAAGATGAAACTGCGTCACAACTCATCTGCGACTGTCCAAAGATTGTACAGATTACAAAATTAGACATGACAGGGTGGAAAAATTAGCACACTGGTCATGATGCAGAAAATGTAACTTGCCAGCCTCCAAAATCATGTGGGAATATCAGGCAGAGAAGGTGTCAGAAAATGAGGAAGTCAAGATCTTGTGGGGTTTCCAGATCCAAACGGAGAGACACCTTGAACATAACACATCAGACAGAGTAGTATTAGAATGGAGAAAGGTCCGGATCGTTGGCACTGCAATTCCAGGGGATGCCAGAGTTGAAAATAAAGAATTGGAAAAATTAACAAAATACAGAGACCTGGCCATTGAAACATCTCGCCTCTGGAAGAATCACACTTCAGTGGTCCCCGTTGTCATTGGGGCTTTGGGAACAATATCAAGAAGTTTCGCACAGTGTCATAAGCAGCTGCAGATCTCAGAAATCACACCACCATCAGAGCTACAAAAACGGCAATATTAGGAACAGCTTACGTATTGCATCAATATTTAATAGATATCTAGGTTTTTGTTTAAAACTTGTATCTGTTATGCAATACCAGTCAATGTTTTTATAATTTTGATGGACTGTGCCTGGTGTGTTTTAATCATCATCATTTCTCAGACAATACTTAGCTCCACTGTTGCACAAGCCAAAAATAAATTCCTGGTTTCTGTATATTCAATACTAGAATAATTTGACCCTCTATTATTTATTTATTTATTGGATAGTAGACAATGTCTACTTGGGGTGGCTTACAAATAAAACTCGGCAATATATACATATGTAAAATATATACATATTACTTAGCAAATGTCCCCCAAGAAATAAAATATTCTCTGAATTTTCCCAAACTACTATTGCTCACCTACTGTCACTAGTTATTTACTACACTATATATTGTAATAGACTTTCAAGCTATATTTACTCTGGTACATGGGCTTGAGCATCATCTTAGTCCCAGAGCTTGGAAATATTACTTCTCTTAGACTGCTACTCACAATATCTTTTACCCAGTAAAGACACTAACCATGCTAGCAAAGGGGATTCTGGGAACTGTAGTCTAAAAGTAACTCTTCTGTTCTCTGCTTACGCCTTGAGCTACCAGGCCAATTTGCCAAAGGAAGGAGCCACTGATGTCTTGTTGAATCCTAAAATGAGAATGTTGGTTTTTAAAATTATTCATGGTGTGGTTAGAGATGTCTTTCTTTTTTTCCTTTAGCAGAAAAATTCAGTGTGTAGATTCCCAATACCACCTAGAAGTAAGGGCAAAAGAAATCCCGTCTTCACACAATGCACTATTAGAGTTGCGCAAGGATTAAGCGCCAAGCTAGAAAATCATTATTTGCTATCTTAGATGCCTTTCAAAGAGGATTAAAAATTCAAGACAGGGTAGGTCTATTAGACATGATGGCACTGTGGGCTCCTCCTCTAGATCAAGATGAGAAACATGCTGCTGATTGCCAGTGGCTGGAAGGCAACAGCTGGAATAATGTTGTCATGAAGCCTTCCTTGTAATCTCCCCATGAGCATCTGACCAACTAACATGGGAAACAATGAACTGATTAGGACTGATCTTTGATATGAACCAGGAGCAAAGCAATTATTTTTATGTGACTATTCTCTGATGTACTTTGGCACTGTTGGTGCAAATGGTCAAAAGAAAGGCCTATCAGAGGTCAAAACAGACAATGCCCTTAGCGTGTCCTTACAAGCAGAGCTCCCCAGAGATGTCACTCTTCTTTCGTTTACATTAGTATGATGTTTCTCAGCTCTGCAGACAGCATATTAGCTTGCTTTTGCTTTGCAGCCAGTCCCTGGGATGTCACATGGCCTTCAGTTGAAAGTCTGATTGCTCAGGCATGGGAGGCTTGAAGAAATATGTTTCTGGAGGGGAAAATGTTCTATTATCTTCTAACTGTAGGGCTGGTATCTTGTCTAATTCTGCCCAGGGACAGCTGCCGTCACGTGGTAACTAAAGATGGATACAAGCTACCAGTCTGGTGGTTCATTTCTCCTCTGAACAGCTGATCTACAGTTCGGTGGCCCACACCCTCCGACAGATGCCCACTCAGGGGCAGCACCTGGAGGAGTCAGGTTGGGACACCAAACTGCAGATCAACTGTTCAGAAATAGGTGCCCGTTGGAGCAGGTGGGGCACCGTACCGCAGATCAGCTATTTGTTTGGGAAATAAACTTCTAAACTGGTGGTCCATGCCCACCTCTAGTAGCAACACAGCCTTATACTGACAGAGGCCATTGCTCCATATGCTTCTTGTATCATTGACAATCACTGGCAACATCTCTTCAGGGTTCGAACGTGCAGTAAGACTTTCTAAGTCCTAGCTATTCTGGACAGGATGTGGGATCTTATAAAGGGAAAGCAGCTATGCTATGACTATGCTGTGGTTCCTTTCTGCCATGGCACAAGGGACACATGAGACCACAAGAGACCATATTGTCCTGTCTATGTCCCATGGTCCAGACTCTTCTCCACATATTTAGTCTGAGCATCTTGGCTCCATGGTGCAGCTTTCATTTTATGATGGCACCTTGCTTTCTTTGCCAATTATTACTTCATGTTGGCTAGAACTAATGTGATCATTCTACCAACGTTTATCCTCTCTTGATTTTATCTAGGCTTGGAAGGTTGCTAATTTGTTGGTTCTGGTTTTTTGAAGCATAAAAATCATTCATCTATACATGTAAAAAATTAAATAGCACTGGATAGAAAGAACTTGAAGCATATAGCCCTTCACCAATAGAAATCTAGCATATTGTGAGCTGCTCTGAGTAGACTCCTGTCTAGAAGGGCAGGATAAAAATCCAACAATAAATAAATAAATAAATAAATAAATAAATAAATAAATAAATAAATAAATAAATAAATAAATAAATAGTAAACAAGCAGATTTGTCAACTTGGAAGTAATCCATAAACCACTGAAAATCTGAACAATGACCCAACCAGTAGTAAATTGGGAAGGGATACAGATGTTCAGCTTACAACTCTCACATTCTTTAATCATTGCAGGATGGAGCTGATGGGAGATGTAAACCAAAGCATTTGAAGGTCCATAAATTCCCAATCCTTATTTTAGGGAATTCACCTTTTTGGGAAATTCCGGTTTAGGACCTTGCCTTAAATGTTGGGTGAGCTGAAAGCTGCCACACTTTTTTTCCCCTAAACAACAGGAATTCCCGGGCATGTTGTGTCACCAATTTATACAAGGCAGGTATGTGGGAGGAGGAGTCTTCCTGCTATGATAGATTTCTACTTGTGGGGAACCATTCAGGGAGAGATTTCAAAAAGAGTCCCGCAAATAAATAAATATACGTATGTGTGTATATGCATGTATCAAATCGAATTATTCATTCAATCATATCTGATCCTTGGTGATTTCACGAGTCAGTTCTCTCCACGATTTCCAATCTTGTACGCCGTCTTTCAACGGCTTTATATTATTTTCTCCTTGCATGACATCCAACTTTTCCTCCTCTCCATCTTCTTCATCGTCCTGGGCCGTAGTTTACTGGGGGAACACGATGGTGCAAACTCATCGGCCCTCCAGCTGAATTCCTTCCTTTCCCACCTTAGATTTGCACCCATTGTTGTGGCTCTCACCAAGCAGGATTCGACCTTTTCTTTTGGGGCTGCAATCGCCTTTTGGATTGACCAGTCCCTCTATAAAAAAAGAGAGAGGAATCCTTCCATCCATGTCCACCTCCTTCTCCACCAATGCCCAGGAGGGTGATGTTTCGACCCCTTGCAACTGCCATGAGTTTGGTCTTTTTAATAGTCAAGAAAAGGTCAAACGCTTCGCTTTCTTCTTTTGAATTTCAAGCTCAGGGAGTTTAGAGACTTTCTGGTTTTTCTGAGAAGCGCGGTGGGGGCATCATCCACCTAGGCGGTGTTCACCATGGAGCAATAATCCTCCCTTCTCAGGTCCGGCCCAGGGACAGACCCCCATGGAGGGGCGGGGGACGACGAAGTTCATTCCGCCTGAGGGTCTTTTTCCCTCTTTTTTTTCCCCCTCAGGCCTCGAGCGCCTCCAGGTGGAAGGGCCTGTTGGGGAGAGCGGCGCAAGATGGCCGTCGCCATAGCAACCGCCGCGGCCTACTCCGTCGGGCCGGCGAGGCGAAGCCTGGGTCGAGTAGTTCCGACCCGCCTCCTCCTTCTCCTCCTCGCCTGGGTCGAGTCGGCGGCGGAGGGAGAGGCCGAGGCTGCCGGCCGAGGGGAGCAAGTGCGGTAGCTAGGCGGGCGGGCGGCGCTGCCTTTGCGGCTTCTTTGCGGCGGGGCGGAGCGAGAGGCGAGGCGACGGGCCCTGCCGGCCGGGGATTTCATCATGCGGGGGGCCGGGCCTCCTCGTCCTCCGCCTCCTCCGCCTCCCGGGCCGCTCCATGCCGCGGCCCCTTAGCCTCCTTCTCGGCCGCCTCGCAAGCAGCATCGGCAGCCCGCCTTGCCGCCGTCTCCCCGGTCTCGACGCCTCCCTTCACCTCGGCCGACCCTCCGCCGCCGGCCATTCCTCGTCGTCCTCCTCCTCCTCCTCGTCCCCGAGAGCCCCCGGCCTTGGCGCCAGGATGGACGGCCCCGCTGCCGAGGCGCTCTTGGCCCCGCTCCGGCAGGCCGTGAGGCAGCAGGTGAGGAGCCCCCTAAGCGGGGATGGGGTGGGGAAGGATGGGGCGCCCTTTTGGCCCCTCTATGGGGCGAGGGCCCCCCCGGCCTCTTCTGGGGTAGGGGCTTCTGGGCAGCTCTGCAGCCAGATTTATTTATTTTGGGTGGGGGAGAGCGAGCGAGCCCCCAGGGAGACCATAACCAAACCCACCCTATAGGATCTGGGGTCCCCCTCCCCATCTTAGGATGTTGTGGGGCATGGGTGGGGTGGCATCCTTTTCTTTGTAATAGGTTTCCATGGGGGGGGTCTTTAGTGCTCTGGATTTTGGCCCTTGAAGTGGCAAGAGGGGTCCCTCTCTCTCCCTCCCCCCCACCCCAAAATACACACCCTTTATTCTGGAGTGCCTTTGAACCCCCAGTACACGTGTCTAGGATTGCTCTGAAATCCGTGGCTTGGAAAGGGTTATGCATGGGCTCAGGCTAGCTTTTTGCATTGGGATCTCCCCCTGGGGGGCGGGGGTTTGGCTTGATCCTTGGGATCCTCTGCCCCCCCCAGTGATCACCCATATACTGCTTGATTTGTACCTATACAAATGGGAAGGACGACCTCGGTCTTCCTGGATCCATGGGGTCATCTGAACCTGTCTGATTGCCAACCTTCTTTGGACCCTGAGATTTGGGCATCGCTGGGTATCCATTCTTAAAGGGAGGTGCTAAGGGACATCCGTCAGGATCTCTGTTTTGATTATCATACCCAAAGGATCCTGATCTGTAGTTCAGGGATTTCTTTTGCCTAGAATCCCTTTTTGCCTTAGGTGGACTTTCTCCCCTCCTCGCTTAAGGTCTCAAAGGATCAACCTCTTGTTTCTCCTCTCCATTCAAAGCTTCCTTTCCTGGCAGGGTTGGGTCTTGGAGGCACACACACCCCTCCGCCCCCATTACTGTTTCTCCCCAAAAACTCTGCCTTCTTTAATACAACTGGGTTTCTATGATGTTTCTGTCACTCTCTTATTGTCAAAGACTTCATTCACCATGCCACTCTTCCACCCTATTAGTGAAAAGTTCCCTTCTTGTTTTTAAACTCTCTTTTCAAGACTGGGTCTACTCTTCGCCGCAAGAAGTTGAGCAGCAAGGCTGTTCTGCCTGGACTTGGAACAGAAATGAAATAATCACTTTTTTTCCTGTTGCAAATACACATTTTAGTGGCTTTTCTCTCCCGTCCTCTTTTGCTGAATTTATTTTGATGTTCCTTCTGTAGCTAGAGGAATGGATGTGTCGAGGATCCCTTTTTTCTTCCTGCAGAGAGAAATAATGATGTAAGCTCACTCTGAGCACAGATTGGAGGCCATGCGGGACATCACCTTTTTCTTTCTGCACCCATCTTTTACAGCAAAATCTTATCTATGCCTCATAAGAAATAGGTCTCACTAAATTTAGTGGGGTTTACTCCCAATATAGGCAGGAATCGCATTGCAGCCTTGTCTTCTTACAAAATAGATGCAATTGGGACACATTATATCCAGTAGTTCTTTGTAAGTCCCTTACTGTATCATATATTGGCTATTGTAATCATTTTGGTACACACATTGGTGATTGTATTGTCTTCTTGATCTTCTTCAGCATTAGGTATCCCCAGTAGGGTGCAAGCTCTGTTTTGCTTCCTGTGTTGAGCCTACAAATTTCTGGAAAAGTGACTTTTTAAAAAAAAAATAGGGGCTTTCTATTTTAAATAAGATTGTTCCTTTTCCTTTCTATGAGCCTCAGATCTGTTTAGTTTCTCAAACTCTTCTGTTCCCACCCTACCTTTTAACTGAGTGTATGTCTACATATCTCACTATTGTAGAATTGACTTCGTCAGTTGGGCTGAATCACATTTGACACACATATGCATTTACCAGGTCTCTAAATAGACCATTCTGTATTTCTGAATTCCCTAGTATGCCTCTGTTCACATGGCATTCTTGTTTGGCTGGTTATGTAAAGAGGGCACAGTTGCACGTCCTTTACATAGCAGGATGGGTAGAGTTTTAATTACACTTGATTTTACGTGTGTGAATCATCATCACACATCATCCCAAATTACTTACTTATAGAGCAGTCTGACTAAATGACGTTATACCAGTGGTGGGATTTGTTAGCTGTATTAAAATAATTTCGACACCTTGCATGTGCAAATGCAGTGCATCTAAAAGCAAAAGATGCTACTTTTTAATTTTTTTCGGCTAAAGAGGAAATGCTGATCAGTCAAGCTTGGTGTGGAAAGGGACTTTGAGAAGTGCAGACTGTGCCACGGGAGGGCAAAAGTACCGAAGAAAAGACTCACATTTGGCAGCTTAAGAGCCGTTTCATGCAGGCTGATCGCTTCTGCTAGAGATGGGCCCCTATTGCTTTGTGAGGAGAGAAGGAACGCTGTAATTACGCTTCCGAGGAGATCTTCTCGATCCAGAAACCAGCCAGGCTGGGCGGGTTTAATGATTTCCTCCTGCAGCAGTGCCTGATGCAATAAGCGGCTGCTCTGCGGGGAGGGGTGGATCCCTTCGCTTGTGGTAAGGGACAAAGCTGCAGTGAAACCTGCCACATCAGTGCTGCTTTCACTTTTTTTAGGTGGGCAGGTTCCCCCCCCCCACACACACACACTTAGCCCCCTGGTCTTATGGGCCTGAGGATTCTCTCTTTCTTGTGTCTTGAAATGGCACATGGAGTAGTATTTGTGTACTGTATTAATTTTCCCACTTAATAAAAGGACCACAGACGTCCAGTGTCCTCCTTTTGTCATCATCCACTGCCAGTTCGCTGAGATTTTCTTCTCAGCAGACCCCCCTTCCCCTTTTCTTGGTTTCTATTCTTTAAAAAGGAAATTGTTGGGTTCCCTCTCTTCTGCCACGTTAGCTTTCAACCTGCCAACTAAAACTTTCACAGTTAAAACAGCTGTTTGTTAAAGTGGGCAGATTATTCTCCCCCCCCCAACCTATTTGATTATATGTGTCATTTTATTATTTAGCAGAGATTCTTATACATTAGAAACTGTTCCCCCCCCCCCATCTTCCTTCCACTGATTAAATGGAGTTTTGAATTCTTCCGCTCCCTCCCTAGTGCATGACTGTCTGTGGAGCAAATTACGAAGAATGAACTGGTATAGAAATTATTTTTCTGAATGACTAGAATCATACCATGTTATAAGCAAGGGAGAGATTAGTAGGGAGACAGCAGATTCTAAATTAAGCATTATAAAACTAGTTAAATTTATTTAAGTTTGTTTAAACAGTTGCAAGCTGATGTCAAGGATACAATAGGAGAAGGATAAAATTTGTTTTATTGGTAGTGACTGCCAGTAGTCTCAGACGGTGGCCTTCCCCTGCTCTGCTACCTAAAATACACTCCCTCTTTCCACAGCCATACATGCACATGTCTCATTGTGTATGGGAGCCTTCTCTGGCTTGGTGCATCCAGGTGTTTTATACTGCAACCCCGTCATTCCTGGCTAACACAAAAACCCACATGCAGAGATTGTGAACATTCAGTGTAATGTTCAGCTATGGTTCTTTAGGCTTAAGAGATTCTTTGTAAAAAGCTTCAATACCATATACAGATGCCCTTGAAATCTTCCATGCACGCAAAGCATGTTTTTAGGCCTGTTTTGAATATGTGAAAAGAAATCTCAGGGAGAATGGGCTGCCCATCTGAAGGACCTTCTTAAAAATCTCCAATTCTGTCTGTGAAACCGTCCTAGAGATGTTTGCAGCGAAAGACCTGGGCATTTTTCAGAGCTGTGTGATGTTTAACTGCAAGTTGTTCAGTCGTGCACTTCCTTCTGTGCTCATTTTTTAAAGAAACAAGACACTTTCTACATGTCTTCTCGGGAGTCTCTCATCCTAAACCCCTAGAAACACTCTGCTGTTTTTTTTAAAAAAATCATGGTGGGTCTCCCAGTTCCCCACCTCAGTAAGTGTTAAAGAAGTGTGGCTTCCTGTAGTTACCCTAACCTCTCACCCCATTTGTGGTATTTTCTCCGCATAGAACCCACATCTGAACTGTTTGCTATTCTTCTAGGGAGAATTGGTTCGCAAGTTGAAGGAAGAGAAGGCTCCTCAAGTGGATGTAGACAAAGCTGTGGCTGAGCTCAAGGCTCGAAAGAGAATCCTAGAAGCAAAGGTGAGCCATGGAATATTTTTTGGGGGGAGGGGGGGTACTGTTTATCCTCCACGTGCAATAATTCCAGAGTAAAGAGTTCATTGTTTGTTGTTTAGTTGTGTCCGACTCTTCGTGACCCCATGGACCAGAGCACGCCAGGCCCTCCTGTCTTCCACTGCCTCCCAGAGTTGGGTCAAATTCATGTTGGTCGAGTCGATGACACTGTCCAACCATCTCATCCTCTGTTGTCCCCCTTCTCCTCCTGCCTTCCAAGAGTTCATAGACCATTTAAAATCATGATTTGGTATTAACAGCCAAGATTGCAGATTCTTTCTCTGTGGTTTCCCTTTCACATGGCTGCAAGCATGCTTGACTATGTGCATTGTACACACACCCTCTTCGTTCAGTTTAGTTTTGGCACAGTTTAGGGTTCAGAGGTATAGTTAAATTATGACTGTATTAAGCTGGTTTGTTTTCACTGAAGTTTAGTTCGAAATAGGTTGGCTCGTAACAATCGTTAGTTTAGATCGGCCATTCTCAGTGTGTGTCTGTGGGGGAGCCATGGCCTCCTGGCACATTTGAAGGGGGCCACAGACTGGAAACCATTCTTTACACACCACCTTACGAGGTTCATTATGCGACTTGCACAATCCTGATTCAGTCTATATTTCATGTTGTGTTTAGGGCCGTGGCCAATAAAAGGTTGAGAATGGCTAGTTTAGAGTATTCACAGGTAGTTCACGTTAGGGAACAGGAGAAAGTTGGGATTCGTTTAAAAAGCAAGGATAGAGAACGTGTGGATCTCCAGATGTTGTTTGGCTTCAACTGCCCTCATCTTTGACTATTAGCTATGCTGATGAGGAATCAGTAGCGTCGCAACATTTTGAAGGCTGCCCTTTGCTCACTAATTGTGGCCAAGCTACAGTGAGGACCTTGTCCTCATCAACATGTGTTTACCTTCATATGTGAATTCATGTGTTAATGGGTTCCAGTTTCCATCACTCCAAGCCAGCTTGACTGGGGTTTGGGCATGATAAGTAGCCTGGCACAATCTGGAAATCTGTTACTGTGATCTTCCCTCACTCTGACCTTAACTGATGTGCTGCAGTCACAGATTCTCAGACTGAAATAATCAAAGCACATCAAACAAAGTGGCTGCATTTCGAAAAATTGCCACTGCAGGAGACTAAAGCAGTTTCAAAGATTTGAAAGGCACAATAGGAAGACCAAGAAAAGAATCTTTGCTACTCTTGTGAAATTTGAAATGGGGGCTAAACTTTTTAGGTGGGAAGTTCCACCATCTGAGTGTTGTGGTGGAGAAGGTTGCTCTTTCGATTTTGAGTGGCGGAGCAAGGCCGCAAATATTGAGCATTGTGTAGGAGAAAGGAACCAGAGAGGAAGTAGTCCTTCACATAGTCTCATATATTTCCTGCCCTCTGGCTTACCCTTGTGCACTTGATCTCAAAGGTTACTGGAGACTTCTCTACTTTGTTTTTGAATGTTTTTCTCAAACTTCATTGAAGCATTTTGAACCCTGGAATCCCAGATTTTTTTTCCCACGGAGAAGTATCTTCAGGAAAGAAATATTTTGTTGTTGCTTAGTTGTTAAGTCGTGTCTGACTCTTCGTGACCCCATGGACCAGGCCCTCCCTCTTCCACTGCCTCCCGGAGTTTGGTCAGATTCATGTTGGTTGCTTCAATGACACTGTCCAACCATCTCATCCTCTGTCGTCGCCTTCTCCTCTTGCCGTCACCCTTTCCCAACATAAGGGTCTTTTCCAGGGAGTCTTCTCATGAGATGACCAAAGTTTTGAAGCCTCAGCTTCAGGATCTGTCCCTCCAGTGAGCAGAAATATGTCACATATCAAACATTGGTTTAGTGGTAGGATGTGTATTGAAGACCAAGCTTCCTTCTGCATTTGATACTTACAACTCCAACTTACATTGTTGAGTGTCCTGTCCTGTTAAAGCCAGAGGTTGGGTATCTCTAGATGCTGTTTTAGTCACATCTGTGCTAGGGTCAGTCTGTGTTGGTGGGAAGACAGATATTGTATCCTTAATGCCCACAGAAAATGTCCCTTTGCCCCTTCTCAGATCTGTTTTTGGTGTTGTCAGACTCTGAGGCAACTGAACGAAACATGTCTTTTGACTGCACATTAATGGTGGTGCTGGAGATGTTGAGCACTTCAGAAACAAGCAGAGGGCATCTGGCATGCCTTCACTTCATGCAGGGCAATGACTCTCAGAATGCCCAGAGAGAGAGGAAAAAATCCATTTCAAAGTACCCTGTTTCGACTAAAATAAGACCTAACCTGAAAATAAGCCCTAGTATGATTTTTCAGGATGCTTGTAATATAAGCCCTATCCTAAAAATAAGCCCCAGTTAAATGAAACCCCGCTCTCCACCCTTGGGCAGCAGTCGCGTGATTGCATTTGAATAAATGTAGATGGTTGTACATGAAAAATAAAATAAAACATCCCCTGAAAATAAGCCCTAATGCATTTTTGGAGCAAAAATTAATATAAGACCCTGTCTTATTTTCGCGGAAACACGGTAAAGAAATATCTCTTTTGAAACTGTTGTTATTACCATGTTTTTCAGGAACTGGCATTGCAGCCTAAGGATGATATTGTGGACAGATCTAAAATGGAAGATACTCTGAAACGGAGATTTTTCTACGATCAGGCGTTTTCAATATACGGAGGTAGATTCTTAATGGCTACAAATGCAATTGAAATTCCTTAAAGCTCCTTCCCTACGCTGTCTTTCACTTTATTTTGTTTGTCGACAGAGGCCTTATTTAAAACAAAACAAAACTGGAGGGTCCAGAAGGACAAAGTACAGAAGTAACTGTGAGATAACAGCAAGAAACCACAAGCATCATAAAATGTTTTGCTCTGTGCCTTTGTTTTATAATACGTACAGGATACAGATAATTCTGTTATTCCTGAATTGATTGTAAGAAAAGATTACATTTTGTGTGTGAGACCAGATAGTAGATCTTTGCAGAAACTTTGGCCTGGCTTTGAAGAATGAGACATTGAAAAGGTGTATTCTAAAAGTGTTGTCCTGTGGAAGTCTCGTGAGAAGGAAGCTACACTTGGTTCAGAGGAAATTCCTCTCTGGTGCATGTGAAATACTTTTCATTTGTGAGTGGACAGTTGAGATTAAAAAGAATGTTGTCATACCTTTAGGTAAAATAATGTTGCGGTATTGAAAGAAAAGTGAAAGCTTGCCTCTCAGCAAGTTTGGAAAGTTCTAAGTAACATTCAAACCCATGATTTGTGTTCATGGTGCAGTATAAAGCCGTGTTAGATATTGATCAGCTCATTGAATGTTATTACCCTATTTTTCGCTCCATAAGACGCACCTTTCCATAAGACGCACCAATTTTTTAGGAGAAGAAAACAGAAAAATATGATCTGTTTTCTTTGCTCCATAAGACGCACAGACTTTCCACCCCCCTGTTTTGTGGGGAAAAAGTGTGTCTTATGGTGTGAAAAATACGGTATACACTTTAGCTGTAAATTCAGCTTTTGGCAACACAAGAGAAACATCCTGTTGCAAAATGAAGGCCATCTATCATCTGGCTGATTTTGTTCCTTTTATGTAACTAAAGAAGTTTATTTACAGTTGTTCTATGAAAACCTGACAGTCATTCCATAAGGACTGTCTCATACAAATCTCCATCTAGAGCCGTGTCTTCGTTTTATGGAAAAGCAAGGTGTGGCAGATGCTGAATTTTGCATTATAGCATTGTTTAAAGCTTTTTACTGCAGCAACCGCATGATTGTATTTGAATAAATGTAGATTGTTGAATATGAGTTCTGATTAGGTTGGCATAGCAGAGGTGAAAGAGAAATTGTTGTCTGCTTTCATTTTCTATTTTGCAGGAGTAAGTGGTTTGTATGATTTTGGTCCGGTTGGATGTGCTTTGAAGAACAACATAATTCAAGCCTGGAGGCAACACTTCATCCAGGAAGAGCAGATTTTTGAGATCGACTGCACCATGCTCACACCAGAGCCCGTTCTGAAGTAAGCACAACGTCTTCTGTGTGTATCGTTATGGCCAGAACTCAAGAGCCTTGAGTACTTCTTTCTCTTTCTTTATATTTCATGTTTATCCTTCCTTGCCATGGAAGATTCAAGGCATCCATGGATGTCCAGACATGTGACTGGCCTATGGATTATTTTTTTGCTACGATCTGTTGGATCAGACTCGACGGAGCTGTGAGAGGCACAGTAACAATCTAAATTTTAAAAAATTACTAGCATAGGAAAATCCAGTATTTGGAAACCCTGTCATGCCTTGAGGATGTGCTTTTTAGGAACCTAAGAAGATGATTTATACCAAGTCAGACCCTTGGTTTATCTAAGCTATTATTGACAGTAATTAGCAGTGGCTCCCCAGAGTTTCATGGAGGTTTCTTTCCCAGTTCTACCTGGAAATGCTGGACATCATCTTCTAGGACCTTCTGCCTACAGAACAAGTGCTCTGGTATTCAGCTATGACAGTGTTCCTCTCTCCAAAGCAAGATGCTATAGACACTCTTTCCTGATCTTGTCCTTTCTTCTCCGTTCCACTTGATGTTTAGTTGTTAAGTCGTGTCCGACTCTTCATGACCCCATGGACCAGA